TCTAAAAGTAAAAGTAAATATTTGAAAGGAGTGTTTGGGAATTCGCAGGCCCGGAGTGGGCTGCGGAGGCACGCGGCTCCCCGTTTTGTCCGGCTCGGGGACCCGGGCTGTTTCTTTCCCAGCTTCTGCACTTCTCGAGAGGATAATGAATGTGGCTTTTCTTCACCACAGCTCACAGGCACGCCTAATCCCTCCGCGGGACCCCGGAGGCTCCCTGCGGTTGGGAATGAGGAGCGTCTGGGGCGCAGGCAGATAAGCGGGGTCCCGGGCGGGCGGCGCGGCCGAGCCCAGCCGGGCCGGCTCTGGGCAGTGGGTTGGACTCTGCCCTGACATGAGCAATGGAAAAAACCTCTCAGCTCAGAGCCTTTCGGATTTTAAAATTGCAGACAAGGGCTGTGGGCCTCTATTTATAACTCCCCTCCCCCACCGCCATCTCTCATTTCTACTTGACTAAAACCCAAACTCCTCCCCAGCCGGGCCCCTGCGCGGAGCCCTGCCCGGTCCTGCCTGGGCGCCACCCCGGCTCGGGGCACTCCCCCGGGGAGGCCTCCCTGACCTCCTGGCCTAGCTCGGCCACTCTCTCCCGCTGTCCTGTTTTATCTGCTTCAGAATTACGATCCCCGTTCCCAGTGATCTTATTCGCCAGTTGTCCCTGTCAGCCTCCCTCACAGGACACACGAGCCCCAGGAATCTGCTTCGCAAAGCTGCCTCCCTGGCCCCCGGCCTCGTCTGGCACCTGGCGGTGCTCACTCAAAACCCCAGGCATGAGGGGCAGCCACCCACCCACCCTCTTCCACCACCAGCAGGGACACTGGGGGGACAGGGCAGGGCCAGGGCTCCCCCCAAGGCCCCAGAACAAAGGACCCTCCTCACTAAGCCTCCCAGGCTAGGAAGTGGCCCGGCCCCTCCTCCCGCCCCTCCCCCGCGCCAGCCTGGGCCCCGGCTCCAAAGCAGAAAAAACAGGATAATTTCATGCTGCACCAATTTTGGTGCTTCTGGGCCCATGAAAAACGGCACATATCAGTGAGTCACGGCCGTGCCGGCCGCGCCAAGCCACAGCTATTAGGGCGCAGCGAGGCGGAGCACCACGTGGAGGGGTCTGGGGAGAACTCTCCTCTGTGAAAACTTGGAGATAAATCTAACCGCGCGGAGCCGGGCGCGGGACGGGCCCGTAAATCATCCCCTTTTCTGAGAACCTCTGGAACTCTCGTCTAATTTTCCAGGAACGAGTGCGAGGCTGCCAAGGCCGCGGGGGTTTGAACAAGCGCAAGGCAGCGCCTTCGGGAGCCCTGGCGGCGTGGCCGGGCCTGTCCCCCGTGACACAGGATCCCTGGGAACGCCACGTCCATCAAGCGGGCGCTGGCGCCCGCCATCTCCGGGTGGACAGGCAGGAAACCGGGACGCCAGGGGGAGGGGGGCACAGAGAGGGCCTCTGTCCTGGGCCCGCCCTGAAGGGCTGCTCTGTGGCAGCTGCAGA